TGCTGGGATCACAGGTGTGTGCCACAGCACCCAGCCTCACTTATCGTTAGAAGAAATACAATGTGTTGTAACTGTACCACACAATATTTTTTCCCTTTGAGACAGAGTCTTGCTATGCAATTCAGGTTGGCCTTGAGCTCATTTTGTAGCCCAGGCTGGCCTCAAACTTGCAGTGATCCTCCTGCCTCAGCCTCCCAAATGCTGGGATTATAGGTGTGCAACACCGTGCCTGGCTATCAAAATTTATTTATTTTATTTTGTCTTTTTTGAGACAGGGTTTTATTATATGGTTCACGCTGGCCTTGAACTCACTTTGTAGCCAAGGTTGGCTTCAAACTCGCAGGCAATACCCCTGCCTCAGGCTCCCAAGTGCTGGAATTACAGGTATGCTCCCCTGCAGTCAGCTGTATCAATTTAAACTTTACAAAACCACATACATTTTTGTTTCAATTCTTAAATTCTCTGGACTGAGAGTAGACATAGTATTTACAAAGAAGACATAGACTGATTCATTTAAAACATGGCCCATGTGGAATCTTTCTCGAAGTATCACATGCATTGTCAGATCATGTTTTCTATCCCTCCTCATACAAAGTAAGCATCATTTCCTCATCCGTAACTCTAGGCTTTCTCACTACAGATAGGAGATAGTCAAGTGGACCTGGTGGTGTGCCCTGAGGCCAGTATCATAGTACCATTCTTGCTTGTAGTAAAAGGGTCCTGTTCTAACTGGACAAATACAACCGCTATTGTTGGGAAACACAAATTTACAATAGCTAATTCTGCATACTTCCTGAAAGGCTAAAATGGAGGCTTGGGATTAAGGATCCTGTTTGATATTTCCAATTAATTCTTTAGGGATAGACAATCTTCTCCGATCCACTAAGATTAAAACTAAAACCTAAATCTAAAAACACTTCAGGGAAAGAACCTTATCATCTTCCCCTCTTGAGTCATCCCAAGATTATGCTTGCCGGCTAAGTCATAGGCCTCTCAGACTTCCACCAACTTTGAATCTTACACTATCTCCGCCTATCACTGATACAGCCAGTAACAGTGGCTGTCTTGGAGGCTCTGTTGGCCTGTCTGGAGACATGGACTTCCCAGTCACTCATCATGTATGACTAAATTTATCTCTGTTTTTTAGTGTACTCTCACTGTATCCTTAACACAGGCAACAGGGCTCTTGGCTGGGTCCCTGATAGCCATGACCTTACTCTGACCTGCTCATCTATCAGGGAAGATACCTATGGAACCAAGACAGCATACATACCGGAAGTCCCTACCTCTGATCTGGAATTTAACTTACTAGGCCATACCTACCTAAACCCATCACATACAAACTCTTATCTTACACAAGCAACTATACTGTAGGCCTCACTTTATTGAACTATAAATAAGTTAGTATCTCTTTCACAAGATTTAATGTGATTAAGTAATTCTGTAGGGTGTACAGTCCACAGTAAATGAGAAAAACTAAAGCTATTACTTTACCTTCTACCATTTTCTATTCCTTTCAATGGGGGAAAACAAGGAAGTAAAAAGGGGTAAAAAAAGTAGAGCCAATTTCAGAGAAACTACAACCAAGATATGCCTGTTTATGCACGACAATTTAGGGATTTCCTAAATTGATGATTCCATGGAAGACTGGTAGTACTTTTCCTACAACCATTTCTCCCACTAAAACATATGTTCTAATTTATTAATGCCACTGCTGGGTATGTATTTAACAGAATTGAACACAGGATCTCAAAAACTATCTGCACTTCAACAGTCACAGAAATATTATTCATAACAGCTAAAAAGCAGAAGTAGCAGGGTATGGTAGTTCACACTTACAAACCCAGCACTTGACAATCTCAAGTTTAAGGCTAGCCTGTGGTACACAGCCAGTTCAAGGCCAGCCTGGTCTATATAGCAGGACCCTACAATTCAAGTGTCTATTGATGGATGAATGGATAATCAAAATGTTGTTTATACATTCAACGGAATACTATAAAGCCTTAACAAGGAAATAATTTTTGACATATGCTACAACATGGATGAATCTTGAGGACATTATGTAAAGTGAAATGAGCCTGTCATTGAAAGACACTCTGTGTAACTCTTATATGAGGCAGAGAAGTCAAAAGTTTTATAGAAAGAAAGCAGGATAGTGATTACAAGGATATTAGAGAAGGGAAGCATTGCAAGTTACTGTTTAGTGAATACCAAGTTTCAGTTTTACAAGACTAGAATTCTGGAGATGGAAAAGCTCAATGAGTGTTTTGTTTTGTTTTTCTTGTTATTATACCAGGTTTTAAACTCATGACCTTGCAATTGCCAGGCAGATGCTTACACAACTGAGGTAAATCCCTGGTCCTCAATGAGTATTTTTTAAATAAACCATTAGGTGGGTACGCCTATAATCCCAGCACTCAGGAGGCTAAGGCAGGAGGATCTCTGCAAGCTCAAGACCAGAGTGGATTACACAGAGACTCTGTCTAAACAAACAAACAAAAACAAAACAAATATGGAGTGTTTATCTGATATTACAACATCAGTATGTAAGCATATGTACAATTTTATACATGTACACATGCGTGTATTATTAAAAAGTTTGATACAACCAGAAAACAAATTATTTATATATGCCTTCTTCAGTTTCCTCAAATTTCAGGACAATTTTCTTTTCTTTTCTTTTCTTTTTTTTTTTTAATCCTTGCATGAGTCCAGCTGAAAGGACAATTTTCTTAAAAAAAAAAAAAAAAAAAACCAAACCCTAAAGAAAATACGAGTATATATCTTCAATATAAAGACATTTCTGCTCTCAAACTTTTTCACCTGTCCATGAAGTGATACTAATACTACTCAGTAATTTCATATATAATCTCACCAGAGGAAATTAGTGGGATAATTCAATTAACCAAATTTTACTGATCTCTGGTTTTAAGTGCCAAATATAATGGCATATAGAAAGACATCCAAAAGAACAGAATAAAAAGGGGCACCTTTCTTCTCAGCTTTCATCCCTAACTTTCTTGAATCATGCATATGTAAATCCCTATTAATGCTTAAGAACTCAAAAGAAAGTCTACAAACTGTATCTTTTGCAACTATATCTTTTGCAAACTATGTGCAATCACATTCACAAAAAGGTGGTTTTCAAAAGGTTCTTAATCCATTTATCATTACAATGAAAACTCATTTCCAAACTGAAGGTTAGAATAATACAGCACAAGTAGATGATTCACCATCAAATATACTCTGAAATACATTTAAATAACATTAAGTAACATTACATGTAAGACACAGGTAGACAGAATGGCAGCTAGTAACAGATACCACAGCAACACACCCTGCAAGGCATAATTGAAATTAAAGTATGTCAAGAACAGAGATAGGTCTCAGATCCGCTTTCTGTGTTACACAAATCTCAAAATCTATCCAAAAACTTATTTTATTTGTTTATTTGTTTGTTTGTTTTGGTACCGAGGCAGCTCCTTTGCCACTGGGCTATATCGCCAGCCCAAAAGACTTACTTTAAGTAAGTTTGCATGCTCCATATTGGTCTAATCCTGAAACTCATCTACAGCAAAAGATACCAGCTCAAAGAAAAACTCTTGGTGACCTCAAAATGCTATTAACAAAGGACAAATATGGTATTTTCAAACACTGGCAAACTCCCAAGAGTCTTAAGTTCCATAACCAGACTACATAATAGCACCAATCTTTCCTAAATGGAATTTAAAACTTTAAATAAAAAGACACAAAAGCCAACAAGTCCCAACACATCCTATTCTAGTCCAAAAATACAAAGCTGTAAATGTCTAGAAATGCCCTCAAGTAATTACTGAAGCTAATTAGCTTTTCCAAAATCAAACATCCTCTGCAATGCTAAAAGAATGGAGAGTTGGGCAAAAAGAAAAGGCAGATGAACCCAAACAAAAAGATAAAACCTAAAAAAAAAAAAAAAAAAAAAAAAGATAAAACCTATATACATTTCTCTAATAAGGAAAAGAGAATTTTGGAATTAAACAATGTAACTAATTGGAAAAAGAAAAATGGTATCAACCTCATAAATCACAACTAAAATGTGAAACTGGTGTTATTCACTGGAAAAATGGAAAGTAATTGGGCAGGAAGCTCGGAACCATGATAATGCTTTTGTAACAAATGATAACATGAAAGCTGCTTTTATTTGTACCAAAAAAAGTTGCTTTAGAAAGAAAACACATTTTCTAAAATTCATACTAAATCATTTTTTTCCTAACCATACCAGAAATGTGCCATATTATTTTATCTATAGTTCTTACTTTGTCCTAATAAAGAATTTAACTATAGGATCTAGGTAAAAAAAAATTCTGTGCAGTATAGTCAGTAAGTGATCTTTGTAGCTATGGTAGCTATAAGATGAGCAGTTTTGAGACAAATTGTTAACTTCTTAGTGCCTCAGTTGCTCTTACTTGTAAAACAAAGATAATAATAGTATCACACGGGGCTGTAAAGATCAAATGAGATAATACACAGGTTGCTTAGACAGAAAGCATTTAAATAAATCTTAGCTGGCCAGGCATAGTGGTCCATGTCCATAATCCTAGCACCAAGAAAGCTGAGGCAGAAGGATCGCTGCAAATTTGAGGCCTGCATGAGCTACAATGTGAGTTCAATAGCAGCCTGAACTACATGGTAAGACTCTATCTCAAAAAAAACCACCAACAAAAAACAAAAAAAACTCGCTATTATTTTTGTTATTTTTACCAAACTAATTCAGCAAGATCAGGTCATTATGTTACTTTATTAAGGCCTAAGCTCGCCTTGAATTTATGGCAATTCTCTAGCCTCAGCCTCCTGAGTGCTGGGACTACAAGTGTGCGCCACCACTCCCAATAGGATCATTATTTTTAAAGAATGAAATTTAAATTAATTCAAAAGAATTAATAATATAATTATTTTTAAAGGTCTCTAAACTAATAGTCTTACTTGCCTAAAATTAACAGTACTATAAGAAGGTCTAAGTAGTCCTTGGTTTGGCAGCACAAGTACTAACGTTGAAACAATACAGAGAAGATTAGAATGGCCCCTGCACAAGGATAACAAGCAAATTCATGAAGCATTCCATATTTTTGGAAAAAAAGGCTATTCCGACATTGATAGGCCAGTAAATGTCTTCCTGTTCTAAACCATTGCCCAGGTTCCTGGTCCCATTGTTCATTGCCCAGTGGATGCTGATGGCCTAGTAACTCACAGTAGTACCTCACTTCAGCGGATACCAAAACAACCACATTTTGCAGATTTCAGTTAATTTGAAGTATTTGCTGCATCAATTGTAAATGAAGAACAAGATGATGAAGCTGAGAAAAAACCTGCAGAGGTCTTACTGGCTAAAAAAGCTTTTGATCCTTAAATTCTCTTTGAGTTGCCAAAATAGATAGTAAAAAGTCAAGAAAAGACAACTGATGCCGGGTGTGGTGGCTCACACCTGTAATTCTAGCACTCAAGAGACTCAAAGGCAAGAGGATCATTGTGAGTTCAAGACAGGCCTAGGCTACAAAGTGAGCTCAAGGCTAGCCTGAAATGCATAGAGAGACCCTGTCTCACAAAAGACAAAAAAAAAAAAAGAAAGAAAGAAAAAGAAAAAACAACTGTTAATACTCCTGCTAACGTGAGCAAAGGCACCTCTTGCTCCACCACCTAAACCTGTTCGAAGAAGACTAAAATCAGAAGATGAGTTAAGACCAGATAGATATTAATGAACACACACAAAAGACAGCTGCTGTTCTTACATCACAACCTTCTATTCCCAGATCTGTTGGTAAAGACAAAATGTTATTCAGGCCTCAATCAGATGCATAAGAAGACCAACACAGTTTTGGCCAGATTTAATAATGAATTGCAACAACAGTTAAAGGATGTTCCTGAAGACAGAATTCCCTGGAATTTCAACTGGAACAACTTCCACCATTCTTTCACCTATAAGCCAATTGCAATCCTGGTGCTATAACAGGAACAGAAAAGCCTCAGTGTGGAAGCTGGAGCCCGCGCCATTGGAAGCCGCGATTTGGGTTTCCCGCCGCATGGCGGCTGCGTCTACATCAGCTCGGCAGGGAGAGAGACGCGCAGAAGCTCTGAGAACAGGAATTGGCGAACGGAGTTGAAAACAGGACAGGCGGGGAGCTGTGCATTGACTTGCGGTGAGGTGAGTGAGAGAGCCTGACACTCTTCCACAGTATAGGAGACTCCAGCAGAGGACATTCTGGCACTGGGCAGACTTGCGGGAGCGGGGCGCTGCAGCGACTTCAGCCACGTATCCCCCTCTCAAGCGGGATCAGGCTGTGGCTGATAGGGAGGGAAGCTGGGCCTCCTATATACGCTTGCATATATAAGGAACAAAGAATATGGGAAGAGGAAGCAACAAGAAAGGCCCTTTGGCCCCCAATCCTGAGAAACAGGCAATAGCGGACACAGCACCAATAGACATAAAGCGCCATCTAGAGAGCCTCATAGAGTTCAGGAATGAAGTTATTAATGACCTGAAGCTAGAAATAAGCAGAATAGTTAGAGAAATGCTAAGCACCACCCAAGAAAAAACAGATGGTGGAATGGAAGAACAGAAAAAGAGGGGAGAATTGTTTGATGGAGAAAATAGAGAAAGCATAGAATACGTGAAGCAGGTTCAAAGAGACTACCAGGAAACTAAAAACTATCGAAAACTGGCATAACAGCTTGAAAGAAACTAAGGACAGACTATCTGAACTGGAGGGCAGATTTGTAATATGGGAGAATAAAATGAAAAACTTCTTAAAAGTAACAAAGAAACAAACAGCAATAATACAAAGACTAGAAGATGATAAGAGGATCCATAACTTAAGAATTATTAAGAACATAAAAGAAGAAGTAGGGACACAAACAAATGAACTACAAAAGTTACTCACAGAAATAATCCAGGAGAATTTTCCTAATTTAGCAAAAGGTAAAGATACTCAGTTGTATGAAGCATACAGGACCCCAGCCACCTACAACCCAAACAGAGCTACACCCAGGCATATAATAATTAAAATTCCAGAAATCCAATACAAGAACAGAATACTAAAAGCCGTCAGAGACAAGAAACAGATCACTTACAAGGGAACACCCATCAGAATTACAGCAGACTTCTCTGCACAAACCATCAAATCACGAAGAACATGGGGGGAAATAATTCAAGCTTTGAAAGATAATAATCTCCAGCCAAGATTGATATATCCTGCGCAACTATCCCTGGAAATTGATGGAAAAACAAGGTGCTTCCAGGATAAAGAGGAACTAGGGGAATATGCAACCACCAATTCAACTCTACAGAGAATACTGCAGGATATTCTAAAAAAGAAAAATACAAAGAATCCAGAAATAGTGGCAGAGAGGCCACAATGAATGGAGCAGAGAACAAAATGAAGAAGACAAACTGACAACTAATGACAGAAAAAGAGCTCAACAGAAACGAGGCAGAGAAGATTGGATGATAGGAACAGCTATTTTGGAGAAAATGACGTCTTAATAGGTAATACTGATTTAGTATCATCTTGTTTTGAAGTCTCATCAAGCTTTTGTTCTTCTGTCTCCATTGATCTAAACAGGTTGTATCTTATTGGATTTTACTATGTATGATGGTATAAGCAAAAACTTTTAAAGACAAGGAGATTATACAGAAACCATTGTTCATTTTCTGTTAGTTGATTCTAAATACCCTGTAATGCTGTCATTCTCTTAAATGGTTTTACATTGTTTTGATATATTTGATGCTACAGTATATGAGGTCATACTCAAAGATTTCAAGGAAAGAGACAATATGGTAACTACTTTTATGTCAGGATTATCTTATGGTGAAACACTATTCTGCTTAAATGGTTATGATTTGATCTGCGCTGTTTTGCTATTATGCCCTCTTTTATCTCAATCTCCACTTCATTATTTACTTTTTTATTTTTATCCTTTTAATTAAGGGAAAAATAAATAAAAAATAGCAGGATATATTATATTAACCCACTTTGACTTTCCATTATCTTGATTTGAGTAAAGTTTCTAAAAGGAAATTATGCTTAAGCTTGGTTGTCAAAAGCAAATATCAAGTGTGACTGAAATATATAATGAAAGTTCAAATTTTAAAATATTATAGTAAAAGATATATTGCCATCAATTTCCCTAAAATACTCTCCATGCTTTGAGTACTTATTCCATCATTCTTCTTGCTCTTTGAAGCCCCTCTAGGAGTCCTCTTTGTGAGTTTTATGAGCTATGATCAAAATATGGTGAATGCTGCTTATATGTCATCTAATGGAAAGACAGACTTATAAAAGCATAATGGTATGTTCTCATCCACCTTATTAACTAGATTTGGTACTATGCAAATTGTGGCTCTTCACCAAAGTCAAAATAACCATAAAAGGTAAACATTTTGAATTGATTCAGGACAGCAAAGCAGCCACAGAGTGAAACTAAACACACGAAAAGAGAACCTCTAAAAATGCTTCAGAAAGTATTATGAATGATACAATAAGAGTGTTTAAAGCAGGGAATATAAGGAGTGTATTTAAAAGCAATGTATCTTTTACAGCAGTAATTTTTACAAATTTAAACATTCACTATATTTTTTAATCACACCTAGTATGCACTTTATAGCAAAACACAGAAGTGAGGAAACAGACCTAGGTTTCATATTTACCATTTAGATGATTTGGGAAAAATTAATCTTTCAACCTCAGTTTCTGGAGTAGGAATGTAGCTCAATAGTAAAGCAACTACTAGCATGCACAAAGTCCTGGGTTTTGATTCCCAGCACCACAAAAAACAAAATCCCCTCAATTATCTGATCTACTTAAAAACACAATGATTAGAGTGCTTCTTTTGGAATGTGAAGATTGACCTAAGAGACATTAAGGAGGTGATTCTTTTGTGTGTTACCTGGTGCTGGGGAATGAAGGAGATAATCTTTACAACTGGGTGACACATGTAATCTGTGCAAGTTAAAAGTCAGAGCACATGCCTGTAAACCCAGCACACATGAAGGATGAGGCATGAGACTGAAAATTTGAGCCCTGCCTGAGCAGTTTAAAGACTTTACAAGACCCCGTCTCAAAATTAAAACTGAAAACGATCTCAGGCAACAGCAGTGCAAAAGCCCATACTCAATCCCCAGCACCATAAGAAGAAAGAGGAGAGAGGAAAGGAAAGGAGGGAAGGAGAGGGGAAGGGAAGAGGAAGAGGGAGAAGAGACGAAAGAGAGGAAAAAAAGAAGTGGAAGAAGAGGAAAACAAGAAAAGAAAGAGAGGAGGAAGAAGACCAGGAGACTAAATAGAAACAATGCACACAAATGTGGCCTCAAGTCACTGGGAACCCTACCAGATGAAACACATTTTCATAGCCAGGAATGGTAGTGTGCATTCATATAGTCCCAGTTACTCCCAGAGACTGGAGAGGAAGGATCACTTGAGCTCAGGAGTTCAAGATCTGATTACACAACATAATAAAGCTATGCCCCACCAAATGTTTTTCATACTATAAAATTAGGATCTTTCTTTCTTTCTTTTTTCCTTTTTCACTTTCATGTTCCCACAAGTCTATACAGTATAGAGTTTTGCAAAGGCAACATGATACATGATATGGCAGTTAATCTGAATAAAAAGGCAGATCTAAGAACTCAACTGTATTCCACTAACCCTGTCATTAAAAATGCTAAGTGTGAGACCAGCCTGGGTTACAAAGTGAGCTAAAGGCTAGCCTGCACTGCACAGTGAGACCTTGTCTCAAAAAGACCAAAATAAATTAATAAGTAAATAAGATTTGCAAAAATTAAAAACGCTTCATTTTTTTTTTTTTTTATCAATACTGGGGATTGAACTCATGACCATGCGCTTGCAAGGCAGGTGCTTATGGCGCTGAGCTAAATCCTCAGCCCCCAATGCCCCATTTCTAATTGTTACTATTTTGGAAAAAATTACTTTTCATAAAAATGTGCTTTTGCTAGGCATAGTGGCACATGCCTATAATTAATTTCAGCATTTGGTGGGGTAAGAGGATTTCAAGTTAAGGTGTATCTGGGATACATAGGAAGAACTTGTCTCATAAAACAAAAAGGTGGGAAGGGACATT